ATGATCATAATGAAAGAAACTTGGACACAAATAAATGTTTATTTTCTGTAAATGAACAGCAAAAGGTGTAATCACCATATTTGCCGAGAGGGCTAAACCCCGCCCTATGTCGACAGCAATTTTGGGGTTTACGAGAGTGCTGACCATTTTACCTCAAGGATTCGTTTATAAAGTGGCCTTTAATGGAAAGGCTGATGTCTAAATCCAATCGCACAGCATACCAAAATAGATCGCGCTTACTATTCACATTGCCAACAAAAATCATACGAAGGCTTGCTCTCAAAGAGTACGTGAACGGAGAAGTAGTCTGAAATTGTACGGACATTCCATTATGGACGTTCCAACCTTGAAAAAGGAAAAACCCATAGATAGAATTATCCGTAACTGTAAGTAAGATTATTCTGGCATGCTCTTTTTGCAATAGATTTTATTTCCAGCTGAGATTTGCGAATTTTTTGGCAAAATGGTTAGCACCCTAATGATCTTAGAGAAAATTTAATAGCATGATCGGGTAGTTTCTTTCCTTTTGCATTATTACAGATTTAATACTTGATCAATTTACTTTATAAAAACGAAAATTAAACAAAGGGCTGGTTACATCTTGTGTAGGATAATTGTGCAATCATTGTACTAAAAACTTCTACCTGTGAGCTTGTGAGTGATTATTATCATCCAACGCTCCGTTATTTTAATGACAGTTTGATCCAGTTGATTGAAACATCCTGAACATACATATTTATATCTGTATCTATATCTATATCTATATTTTTTCTCTCCCTCCTCATTTCTTTATTTTTGTTACAACCGATTTAAAGCATAATAATCCTTGTAACTACTCAGCTCGTTTAGTTCTGACTATTTTAAGTATTTTTTTTTTCTTTTTGCTTATTTAAGTTTAATTTATTTTTTTTTTTGCAATATGACATTCTATGTATTAAGCAAAGTAAACTGGTTGTTGTTTTTGAACTCTTACTTAGCCATTGCTGAGTAAACTCGTCCCAAGTCTCTGGTTCATTATTTCCTTCCAGCCTCCCTGCCTTACCAGCTTGTATGTTCGCCTTAAAACGTACGCATGAGAATTCCGGCTACTTTAGGTTTTCCACGGATCAATAAAGAACAACTCCTATCGCACGGACTCATGAGGTGCCACATATGTTGCGTCGTAGGGAAAAACTATGTTGGAAACAGTGGGGGTGGGGGGGAGGCAGGGAGGGTGTTGAACATAACTCGCGCGAATAAAAATTGTTGGTCTCAGATGAAAGACGATTTAGCTTGTGAAGTCGTGTTAATTCACCAAGCCGTGAGAGCACGCGCGATCAAAATAGTACAAATACTTTCGGTAAATCGAGATCAAAATTTCTAATCTACAAAAGCACGAAGTGAGAGATAAAACGTAGAAAAAAGTATAAAGATAACTTCAACGTGCAAATATATCAGTAGATAATCCCTTGTCTTATTTTCTTTCAATTGTAATGACAGCGATTCTACTAAGTCGGTTTTGTCCTATTGGATCTTAAAAATGTCTTAATACGCGGAAGGGCGCTAAAAGACCTTACAGCAGAGCACGAAGTTGCTGGAACTGTGGCCAGGATGGAGGCAACTCTAACCCCAAATGGAGACCAGTTTAATCCATGCTTTTTACCAACACGGCTGTTTTTTTCCTCTGGCATTGGTCCCTGCAGTCGTAGTTTTCAAAGATTGACTTGTCACGTGATGGCATTTCGCTATCCACGCCGCATAAATCTGATATAATTTGCGTGTTGCTGCGGCTTGGAAAACAGACATCTTAAACATTGCGCAAAACAGTTTTAACGCGCGCAACAAGTACGACTTGTCTTAGCTATTTGCAAAATCCTGTGCAATAAAGGTAATATAAAAGTGACGTGTTTTTACTATCTATAACATTGTGTGACACATTTTTAACTTGCGTTAACTGTCTAAACAACATTGCAGGACACAACCTCGGCGTGTATTGCACGCGATACTTTTAGCTTGTCTTGATTATGTGCAACTTCTCAAGCGGCTTTTCCATCTGTTGTGTATTATCTGTAACATTGCGCGAAGTGGCCTTCCACAATTATCAGCTATTTCATTTTTCCTTGTTAAAACGCAGTTCAATCCCAAACGAAACTCACTAGTTATTTCTTAGTATAGAGGTACTGACCGTTAAGGAAACATTTTTATACGCGTGTAAGAAACAAAACTTGTCTTTCCTCCCTTTCCCTCTCCGTAAGTTTTTGTGGGTCTATGCATAAGGCCCGCTATGCATGTGTACGGGATGACACTTAACAGACCTCCCGGAGCATAATTTGCCCTATAGGTAGACTGGGTACACATGTAATAGCATTCGGCGGGTCCTTCGATGGCGGCCATTGCCAGCGTTCTGCAGCCTTTAATCTGTTTGGGCGTATCGTTTCATATCGTTGTCTGCGCCCTTATTTTGTTTTACTTCTCGTCAGTCTAAAATACGTCAACTCAATGCAGTGCTGGATATAATTTTTCCTTTTTAACAGGTCAGGTCATGTGTCCTTTCAAATCGTCATTTGGCCGGACACGCTAAATGCCGAACTTGGTCGGTCCTTGGTCTTGTGCTCAAGATCTCGAGCACGGCTTTTCCCAAAACGGACCGAGGTGCGATTCATCGCTAAAGTGAACGTGATTTTGCGTTAGTTCCCGAGTGAAACAGTGTTCTCGGCGAATTTTTTTCCGTGACGGGTCCGTTTCGACCCAAAGAAACTGGGAACGAAAGAGAATCCAACATGGCGGTAGATGGTTCTAAGCAGATTTTGATAATATGAACATATTTAGACGCTGAAGCTGTGACGAAAAGGCCTTTTATGATATTAGTTGAGTTTTGAATGATATTTTTCTTCGTCTGGTTGGATTTGGGTGCAAAGGAAAATAGCTGCAGCAGCTGCAAAACACTGAAACAAAAACCACGTTTACAAACGCTCACCGCCGACAACAGCCTGGCAATTCCTAGCTGATGCAAGACTCAGGACTACCCGAGGTAAACTAAAACATAATAGGGTGCTGGTTAAGACAGTTTTTCTGCGGGGCTTTTCTCACTTGTTATTGCGTAGGTAAGCAATTTAACTTGGCTGAATAAAATACTCCAAATTCGGGCAACCCGAAAACATGGATCCCCGGTCCGCGGACCCCTACTACGGACCGGGTCCGCGGACTACCTATGGACCGGTCCACGGACTCCCCCTACGGACCCCCTCTACGGA